ATTAGTCACGAGAAATTACTTTTCAGTGACTAATTACTTTAGTCAGTAAAAGTATAAACTTTTTTGCCTACCAATTTTTTCCCTAGTAGTCAAATGTGATTTTTTTGCGACCAAAATTTTTTTGATCGACAAAAGTGATCGGCAAATGTGTTATTTCTTGTAGTGTCTATTTATGTGTATCATTCATAAAATAAAATAATTTAGATTGATCTAATAATTGTAAATTCGTAATTTTATCTCATTTATCTTTAAAAATAAAAACAATAAATGTGGTTTTAAAAGTAATTTAATCATTTTTTTAATGACAAATGTAATAAATCATATGGCTACAATTATAATCTGATTTTTTTTTTTTATAAATAAAATCCGTGGAATTGAATTAAACAATCCAGTCCATTTATAAGGACATAAGAGAAGCACTGTCTCTAAAATAAACTCTAATTAGGGTCGCAAACTACTTTTTTTTTATTATCATTATTATTATGATTATTATTAGTTCTCTCTTGTTGGATTCACCTTCATTAATCAATTAATGAATAATATGTTCTCCTAAGAAAACGCCTATTGCATTGAACACAATCAAAGCAACTTATTAAAATGGCTCAACTATGTTTGAAATATAAAACAATAGCGGTTTTCTTGGAATCAACAACCATCATGTTTTTATGTTGAGCATTTTAATATGTTTCATTATCCTTGTTCCCAACAAAATTATTAAAGTCGCCCAACCAATCACCACTGTCCATTGTCCAAGCCTCATAAAATAAAAAAATTAAAAAAATAATAAAAATTGGAAAAAGCCTCATTGCCAGCTATTTTTCAATATTAAATTTGTAGGTTGCCGAAAATCACAATCTATGGGATCGAGGATTGAGACTTTGGAAAGTTACTCTATAATTTGAAAAATTAAAAATTATTCTATATAATTTTAAAATTATCTAAAACAAATTTGAGATGTAAAAATCTTATAATTTTAAATTATTTTAAGATTTTTAATATAATATAAAATATTTTAAAAAATTTTAGAGGTGCCGTTGCCGCTAGCCTCTCCTAAATTCGTCATTGCCATCATATGACTTCTAGATGGGACAACCGAATTGGCCCAATACATAGTCAGCAAAACTAATTGAGAAAAAAATTCTTAAACAATGACAATTAAAATACTTTGAAATGTTCAAATGTTTGGTGCTTTTTTAAGCTAGCTTTATTTTAAGTTATAAATAAAATTTTCAAAGAGAAATTTAAATATATATAGATATATATTTTCTATAATTTTCCTTTCCTTGAAAGTAAGCTATATTATTACTTCAAAGGATAAATTATACTCTGTCACCTTTATATTTGATCACTTTTTTATCTTGAACCTTAAAGATTATTTTTCTTATTTTGGCTTTTTATGTTTCAAACTCTTTCCAAGTTACTATAAAACTAATTTTTGTTTAAAATTAAACAAAAAATCAGAATAACTGCTACATAATATAAAAATATATTATTATATTAGGTTTAAGTTTATGTTAGAGATATGAGTTATATATAATAAAATATTATTATGTTATGTGATTGTCAATGTGTTATTTTTGTCTAATTTTTAATAGAAATTAACTTAAGGAGTAAATTAAGAAAAACTTGAAATATGAAGGATTCAAGTGAGAAAAAATAAATTTTAAGAGTCAAAATAAAAAAGTAACCAAACATAAAAGAAGAAAAGTGTAATTTATCTTATTTCAAATGATAAATAAATAATAATAATAATAATAATAATAATAATAAAAGCAATAATAATAATAATAATAATAATAATAATTAGTTGTGTGTGTTGATCAATCAAAACTTGAGAAGAGAGGTCCACCTTATCAAACAATGAGTCCTAGACTGGAGCTGGTTAGCATCATCTAAAATAAATAAAAAGTCAAAATTTTATTATTAAAAAGTGAATTTTTTTTATTCTTATATATATATTTTTAAAAAAATTTAATTAAAATAATTACTTTTCAAAACAACTTCGGTAGATGCCTTATCCAAAACGAATCAGTGTGTTTGGTTTGAATTTTTTAGATTAAATTTTTTAAAAATTAAAAGTTTTTTGATTTTCGTGTTTTTTTATTTTTAGTAAATATTTTTAAAATTTTAAACATTTTTTTTACTTTATTAGATGCACCTTACTTAGATGTATCTAAAAAGTAAAAAATTTGTGAAAAAATATTTTAAAAATTAATAAATACATAAAAATATAAAATATGTACGAAATTCTCGTATTTTTATTTTATTTTTGGTATTTAATGAATTTTTAAAAGGTTTCTTTCATAATTTTTTTACTTTTTAAGTATATTTATGTTAGGTATGTAAGTAAAAAAATTATTTAAAATATTAAAAAAATTTAATAAAAACAAAAAAATACGAAAAATAAGAAAGTAAAATTTTTTGAAAATAATTTTTAAAAAGAATAATGCTTGGGACCCCCTTTTGGGGGTCACCCCCTCACCCCCTTGCCACGTGGCAGGTGGTGATTGGAGGAGCAGGAAAAAAAAGAAAAAGAAAAAGAAAAAGTGACCAATGAGAGAGAGAGGGGGTCAAGGGAGTGGGGAAAAAGGGGATGAATCATTACTCTTTTAAAAAACTCTAACCAAGCATGTTGAATGTTTATCATCACACACGTGGCACTCATCTGGACGTTTTGAGATCATCGGGTGCTGCCACACTGGCGCTGATGCAGTGTCTCATCATGAGCGCAGTGCTGATGTCGTGCCCAAGCAACGAGTGGGGATTGGATATCGTTATGTAAAATATTATGCAATTTGTTGAAATTATACCGATTGATATTGATTTGTTTCGATTTATTAACTAACTGTGATTTAAAATTTAAAATTTATTTTTAAAATTATTCTGCTCCATTATAATTAGTGGATATATATTTTTTAACTTATAATAAAATATTAAAATAAAAATAAGTATAAAAAATATTTAATATGTGAAATTTATTATAAATTAATAATTACATATATAAAAAATATTATATAAAATTAACTTATGTTATATATGTAAAGTATTATGTAAATTAGTGTTATATATTATATAAAGGGTTGATAATTGATTAGAATATCTTTTAATTCACTTCCTAAACTCTTTAAATCGTAATTTATCAATTTACTAATCCACAATTCGATTTATAATTTTATGTTCAAAACTGTTCGAATCACACTATATATACCTTTAATATTGGGTATTCTTAAATACGATTATGTAATATTTTAAAATATTATAATTAATAAAAAAAAGTAAAATTTATAATGTTACATCAAGTAAATAAAGAATAAACATGTTCTATAATGATTAATTCTAGAAGATAAATACTTGGCACTCCAGCAGCAGTAGTTGTCAAACAACAGGCTTCAGGGAGCTTCTATTTACACACACAATATACACTTTTTACACATTTTGATTGGACGGATTAAAGCATGGGATTGGGATTATTAATCCGTGGGCCCAATTATCCTATGTTTGTTTTGACACTTTGGTTTAGGATTATTAATCCAATGGATAATTAATCCAACAAATTTGTAGGATTATTAGTAATGAGGTAGGGGTGGGATAGTTAACACCACACTAATTTGATAGGATTATTAATGCTTCACTAATAGTGAAGTGAATCAAACATGACCTTTACACACTCCCTTCATTAAGTGTTTGTATAAAGAGAGTTTGGTGTGTGTAAATAGAAGCTCCCCACGCTTCAGCTGTTGGGATTGCCAAAAGTCCTAACTGCCCTTGAAGGCCGAGCAAAATTACTCACTATTTCAAAATTTATCCCAGGTGCGATAATAAATCATTTACAAAATGGATTATAAAAAAGACACAATACGGTCAAATGCATCTTGTGTCTTGTCTTTGATGAATTCTATAAATAAATTTTGTATAAATAATTTAATTTATTTATTCTCATTTAAATGAGACAAATAAACATAAAAATAAACATAAATTCACACCATTACCATTATGCTTTGAAAGAGAATCATGTCTAACTTTTGGTTCAAAAATAAAACCAAAGAACAAGTTAAAATTTAAAATTAAGAATAAAAAATTAAAAATTAAAAACGCTTTTCACTCTACTTTTGAATACAATTAGCTAATTTACCTTGGTTATCTGACAAATTATAAGGAAAAATTATATCAAATAGAGGTTTGGAACTTCTTTTTCATTTGCATGAACTTTTTAATTAACATTATTTTTTCGTTCAAATATTAATTATTGATGAAAATTAATTATTTAAATACAAATAATCAAACAATAATTTTTTGATCCATTGTCATAATTAATATTTATATAATTGATTACAATTTTTTTTATTTAATTGTGATATTTGAACATATTGTGAACTTTTTAAAAAATAAAAATGTAATGTACATTAGTAACTCTAATGACCCAAGCTATAACTTAGTAGTCATGAAGAAAATATTTAGATGTTATGGTGAGATTTTTAGGTTCGAGTCTATAAAGAGATATTAACTTACATTATAATATAACTATTAACATATTAATACTATCTTTGCAAATATATAGGCATGTTTGGAAAGCTTATTATTTTAATAAGGTATTTTAATTTTTGACTATTTTAATAGGCTAAAATAGTTATATTTGGAAAGATAATTGAATTTTTTTTCTATAATTAGATGTGATGTTTGGAGAAAAAAAAATAAAACGATTATGATTTGATATAATATTTTATCTTATTAATTATTTTGATTTATTTTATCTTTTAATATTATTTTAATCCAAAAAATCAAAAAAAAACTATTGTCAAACATCCCCATAGTAGCTCTAATACAGAGTGGTTTGAAAATCAGCTACTTTAATTATTATTTCTTTACAAAAAAATTATAAAATAAAATAAAGAAACAACATAATTTATTTATTTTTTTAAACTTTTAAACCAAAAAAAAAAAAAAAAACCTGTCCCTAACGGGGATAAGAGAAGTATGGCATTTGGAGGTTTCTCATTCCTCTGTCGTTCTCCACATAGTCTGACCGGTCTCTCTAATATCTTCTCTTCGCTTCTGTTTCCCTCTTTTCTATAAAAATCTCTTATCTTCTTACTCACTCTCGCCATTTTTCTACTTCCTTTATCCACTCTTTCTTGTCGGTGGTGCTTACCAATCTTAAAAAAAAAAAAAAAATTCTCTATCTCTCTCTCTTGCTCTCTCTCTCTCTCTCTCTCTCTCTACTCCAATATATATCTTTGATCGGTTCGATTCTAGGGCTTGGTCGACGCAGACCGATCCTCGTAACTCCCTAATTGAGTACTTGAATTTGTGATTCCCGAGAAAATATAAGCTTTGGTTTGAGTTAAGAGCAACGATCGGGGCTGAAATCGCTTTGATCTTTCGAAGATTATAAAGTTTCAGAGCTATTAGAGGCGTTTCAGGTGTGGTGATGTAACTAACTCGCTGTATCTATTTTACAATCTTCATGATCTTTGGATTGAATTTGAACGATGATTTTTTTATCATTCATTAATCGGCCTAATTTAATGATCGAATTTCAGATTAAATTTTGGAGAGAAAGAGGGTGAGAGAGAGTATTAACTATTGAATCGATAGTGCTTGAATATTTATTGAACTGATTGATTCCGATAGTTAAATTAGGCACTGAATTCTTAAATGGACACACACACAGTTAATGATCAATAAAGGAGGAAACTTGGTAATGGTAACTTTCTAATTTTGTTTCTGGAAAAAGGATCGATTTTTGTATGAAAAATTTATCTACTATGAAGAGTCTATGATGTGAACTCAGTGCTGTTGGCTCTGTTCCTTATATGTGCAATTTGTGTTTATAAAACTTACCCTGATGAAAAGAAAAAAAAAATATTTAGGAGGGAAAGTGAAAATAAATAAATTTGATGGGTACATGGATAACGGTTTCCTTCATTTAACTGCATGTTAAGTTTTTAGCCTGTTCTCATATAATGTTTTGGTCATATTATCTTTGTTTACGGATAGATCTTAAAGGAGGGAAGATGGGTTCTCTGCAAGGACCGGTTATTTGCCCTGCTTTCCGAGCAAAACAAACTGGAGTTTACACTGTGTCTGTTAGTGGGCCCTTAATGAAGGCTAAATTTCTTAGAAGTGGATTCTGGGGATTCAATGGTACCATGGGTGCTAGGATTAATGTGAGTCATCAACTACACGTGCAACGGTGCAAGAAGGTGCATTGTGGTTTCAGTTCATCTTCCAATGGTAACGGTAGTATGGCAGAGAATTTCAATGAGAATGATGAAGATTACGTCAACTCCAGTGTTGTTGAAGCACGTACGTTAATTGTGTATTTTCGTAAATTCCATAGCATTGAGTGCAATTCTTTTGGCTTGTTTGGTTCTGCTTTTGGAAAATGCATTTGCTTATAATTCAGTTAAAAGAAAATTGTGTTTTGTCATTTGCTTTCTATTAGAGCACAGAAAATTGAAACATCAAACTCTTACTTCTAATAGTATCTGGTATATTGTCATATCACTTCAAGTTCTTGCCAAAAATGAGAAATGTAAACACAAAACATCGTTTTGGTGTTCCTTTAAGCATCGTTTTAATCACGCATTGTGTTTTGTCATTTTGCTTTCTATTAGAGCACAGAACGTGGAAACATCAATCTCTTACATCTGAGAGTATCCGTGTACTGTCGTTTCGCTTCTTGCCAAAAAATGAGAAATGTAAACACAAATGTTCCTTTAAGCATCCTTTTGTGCCATTTTTCCTGTATTCAATTTGGAGGAAAAGCGTACATACATCTCAACACCCCTCTTTATATACTTTGCAACCTAGCCTTAGTAGCTTACTTTTTTTCCCCTCTTTATCTATTTATACTGTTATATGAAGCCCATTTGGTTTGAACACCCTTTTGAAGCGTTGTCACACTTTTTCTCATTCCTAAATTGTTCCCATGTTACTGCCAATTTAATTTTTTATAATTTTTTTAGTTTTTAATGACACACCTTCTTGTGCATCATGCATGTTTCTACAGTTATGGATCCCTTATAGTATTATTGTCAATGAATGATGACTATGATCATGTTGTCCGAAATTCTATAGCTCTAAGCAGTGTGCTGTTGGGCTGTTTACTTCTTCACTACTTGCTAAAGTTTGTAAATTGTAGTTATATGCATTGTACGTTATTGATGCTCGTGTCTCTATGGTTTTTCCGTGTAGTTGAGGTGAAGAGTGGCCCAGATGGTTTTATGATTAAGATGAGAGATGGTAGGCATTTAAGATGTGTTCATAACAACCCTCAGGGTGGACATCTGCCTGATTATGCTCCACATCCTGCTATTGTATTGAAGATGGAAGATGGGACTGGCCTTCTCCTCCCAATAATTGTTTGTATGTACATATCACATTTTATACTTTCTACAATGAAGAATTTTCTCTTAGGATTGTGCATTTTGACCTTTTTTTTCTTTTTCCTTTTTTAACTCTCAATTAATGATTTGGTTTTAATTGTAGTGGAGATGCCAAGTGTGTTGCTCATGGCAGCTATCCGCAATGTCCAAATCGTAAGTTGTCATATTTCATTTTGGAAACTTTTTTTTTCCCTTCTAAATTGTTGTGTTAACTTAAAACATACCAATTGTCGATGACTTTTCAGGCTAGGCCCACTATGTATCAAGTTGTAAAGGAGATGGTTGACAAGATGGGCTATGCAGTAAGTTTGGATTTGCTTTTGTTACTTCTCATGATTAGCAATGCCTCTATATTTTCATACCTTGATTTCTCTTTTGTAAGACCTCCATTTGATATAACTGTTTGTTTCTTATGCAGGTGAAGGTTGTTCGAGTCACCAAGAGGGTACATGAAGCATATTTTGCTCAGTTATACCTCACGAAGGCATATTCCTGTTTCAAGCCTGTATTTTGTTTGACTAATATTTTCCATAAAACTTGCTTTAATAGTAATATTTAACTGATAAAGTTTTTTTTTTTTTAAATCTCAGTTGGGTAATGAAACGGAGAGTGTTAGCTTTGATCTTCGACCTTCGGATGCCATTAACATTGCAGTAAGATGCAAGGTACTTTTGCTCATTTTGAAGATTGTAACTACTTTGGTGGATTTTTGTGGTTGTTTATCATCATGTAGTCCTCTTATCTAACATAGTTTTAATCACTGCTCTCTCACTAGATAGCATTATATAATGGTGTTGGATAAACATAATGTTATTTGCATGCAAAACTGATAGCTGAGTAATACTATCTGATGATGGTGGTTCTTAATGGGATGAAGCTAGTGTCTGAACGAAATGACATAGAATTTTTCCAAAATTGAACCAAAAGGAGGAGGGAGAGGAGGAGAGAAATGAGAAATAAAAACTCCTATTTTTTGGTCTCACCTATGGTCCAATGTCTGCAATTCTAGTGACATCTTATTACTGTATGGCTTGCCCAGTATTATTGTTACTCTAATAATAACCTACAGTTTTGAAATATTGAAGAGAATATCTCAATAGAGTTTGAAGTAATATTTTTGGCTGCAGTATTCGATTTTATCCCGTCTATGGTTGCTTAAGATTGTCAATCTTACCCTTACTGCTAACTCATTATCAATTTGTTTGGTCATGCGAAATTGTGTTGAAGTTAAATAAAATTTTGTTATTATTATGATAATAATTATTGCAATAGCTATTATCATTATCTTAAGAGATGGAATACATAGTTCTAAAAAGAGGCAGAAATACAGGTAATTTGATAGAATAGAATACATATACAAATTCAAGTAAAAGTGGCAAATAGAAGAAGGAAAAAGATAAAAAAGAATTGTACCTGAGACAGCTTTACAGATAGTTAAAGGTACTGAAAATAAATAATTTTAAAATTCATTTGAAAATGCATATGCAGGTACAAAATATTTAAGTAGGTTTTTTGAAAATTGACGAAGGCATAGTTTTTTGAAATTAACCTACCTGTGCATGATCCTTTTCCCGCTTTTTTTATTTTTTTGGTCCTTCTCTCTAATGAATGGAAATTTATCCGTGCAAGTGCGGGTGACTTAAATGCTTTTGTTAGGTAATTGGAAGAGTGGGGAAAAAAGAAAGAAAAAAGTTGAGAAAAATCTTGATTTGATTACAAATATTAATTGTGGTCCATTTTGAGAATTGTGGGTCTGTATATCTGGGCTAAAAGTTCTCATACATGTTCTAAATACACATTGTCAGTTGCTTGGATATAAATGAGCTACACGTGTCATAATTGGGAGGTTACATGGATATATATTCTTTTTTTTTTTTTTTTGAAGGGTGTGTGTGGGTGTTATGAATAGTAGATTTGATGGAGCTTACCTGAAATGGAGAGCAAAATTTTACGTTACCCAACCATAATGTGATGTTGGATAGTGCAGTGTTTGCAGTTCCTTTTGAAGAGGTAATTATGTAATATAGAACCTTCCTGTCAGGTATGTGGAGTAGTCTATCTGCATATCCATTTTATGATTCAAAAAAAAAAAAAAAATTATGTAATATAGAACCAGGGATAGACTCTGAACCTCTTTGACGGACAGAGGTGATCGTTTCTGATTGCTCGTAGGAAACATATAAATGTTGGTTCTTTTTCTTCATTATTTGATCCAACCAGATGCTTGATTGTTTTTTATGCGAACATATCATGGTAGTGCTTATAGACTTATTTTTGCAACCCATTATTTTGACATACGTTGAAATTAGTGAAATTTTAGATTAAGTGATAATTCTGTTTTTACAAAAAAGTACGGCCAGTTTTGTCTCCATAGATGAGGGTCTGGGAGGAGTATATTGGATATAGATCTAACCTTTAGCATTATTTTCACAAAGTGGTTACCCTCAGGTTCGAACTCACAACCATCAAGTGATAATTCTGTGAATCAATAGAAGCTTTTTTTGTTTTAATCTTTCTTCATTTCGTGCAGGTGCCTATACAAGTCAACAAATACTTGGCATATAGTGATGGGATGAGGGTCATTGAATCTGCCAAGGTGTCAATGCACGCCTCTTCAGATGGCCTACTATTTACAGAACTAGACCGGTAATGAAGATTCATTCTCTTCATAAAAAATATGAGGTAGAACCAATAATGATTTCTTTTGAATTCATACCTGGAGTTGAAAACCTCAGTCAAGAATTGTTTATATTTTTTAATACCTTGGTGATTGCATATATTTTGTTTGTTTGGGGACAATCTATGCTTTGGATGTAAGCATGAAAGTTTGATGTGTGGCAAAGATATAGTTTGATAATGGACTTTAAGACTTAAAAGACTCTGAATTGTAAGGTTATATAAAGATACCTTGGAACAGGTTATCACTCATTCATACCAAGTGAAATTCAGGAAGTTAAAAAAGAAAAAAAGAGCGTTAATCCAAATTTTACCATAGCTATTTTAATAGGATTTGGAAATGACAGAAATATATGGTGATGGAACTGTATGGATTTACATGTTATGAGTTAAGACCACAATAATTATCTATCTCTATGAGCAAATGTAAATCGGTTGAAGTAATGCATGGTGTTGTGTTCCAGGCCTAGTGGGCAGCCATGCATTGAAACAAAGGAGTTTGATCTTGTGCGCAATATGCTGATTGCTGCTGTTGAGGAACGGTACAGAGATGCAGGTATACTATTACCGTGGAATTATAATTTAAACATTGGAGATTTACATTGGAGTCCAAATAGCTTCATTTTCCTTACCCAGTATGATAGTTGTTTTACTACTATTGTAGTTCTTGAGTCTTGGTATTTTTGTGGTCTATTACAGCTCAATGGAGGGACAAACTGACTCAACTCAGGTCCAAGAGGAATTGGGCATAGCAGGTATAAGGCTTCCCATTTTCTTCCGTCGTTGGTTTAAACAGTGTTCACCTGTGATTTGCACCATGTTCTCCCTCCTCCCCCTCTCTCTCTCTCTCTCTCTCTCTCTCTCTCACAACAAGGATGGGATTTGTACATATAAACCATTGGTTAAAGTTGATGAGGTGGGCTTCAACAGTAATTAATCATTTATCTTCCCCGCCCCCCCAAAATATGTATGAAACAGGCTTGTGCATATCTGTATAGATGGACAAACTTGGGACTGTTGGTATAATGTTGATTATGCAAGACTCGCTGATTTCTGAGTAAATTTTCGGTCTCCCATTGTTCCTTGCATATATACACTATTGATTTCTTGATATCTGCTGCATTTCTGAGTTGCCTTTTTTTGGCTTATGGCAACCTATCAGTTCAAGTTAATAGCATCAAACACCACTGATTCATTTGACGAAGCAAATCCTCAGACATGTATTGCTCTGTCTATGGCTTTGTGACCATATGGATTATTAAGGTAGGTCACTGCTGTGATGATTCTCCCAGTTAGTTGTTCAGTGCCTTGCATTTGAACTTCATCTTCATGAACCTCTGTGAGCTTTTTTCTGATTTTTTTTTTGTCTTTTTTTGTTTTTGGCTTTTCAGAAGCTCACAAATGCATCCAATGTTGCACACCTTTTTTAATATTTAAATCTAGAAATGATTAACTAGGAAAATTTACAGTTAACGCCATTGCGGATGAGGTGATTTTTGTTGTGATTAGTTTTGGTAATGCTATTAAGCAATAATGCTTGTGCATATGGAAAATGATATGTGAGCCAAAAAATTTGAATCCAATTGACAGACTGATTTGTCAAAGTGTCTTTCAGTAGTGACCCCACGTTTTGGTTTTAACTTCATATGAAAGGCATCTATTTGAATTTGGGTTTTACTTTTTGGGATAATGTTAGGGAAATTAAATTTTTTATCAAATAATTAACCAAATATTTCATCTGGGTGTAAGGTTTACCCTCGTGAATTTTACATTTATGTGAAATATTTAATTATTTATTTAATAAAAAATTTAGGATCTATGACATTTTTTTATTTTTTGGCCTAAAACTTTAGATCTACGCGAACTGCCACCGATGGATCTGTGTTGACTTTCACAACCACCTCTTAAAAAGAAGCCGTGTTAAAAAGCTTGAACGCTCAACTTTAACCTCTCATACATCATAAACAACTTGCTTGATTATCCTTTGATCTTTTATCCTCAAAGATGGTCATTCTTGACCTCTGCGCCACCTTTTTTTTTTTTTTCCGGCCCTGGTTCATTTAGGGCATGTTTGATTGACAGGATTATAAGATATGAGATTGGTTCATTTAGGGCATGTTTAATTGACAGGATTATAAGATATGAGATTGAGATTATTAATTCATGAGTTTAATAATTATATGTTTGTTTTGAAATTTTCTTTTAAGATTATTAATCTAATGGATTATTAATCTAACAAATTTATAATTATAGGATTATTAGTAATGGGGTAAGGGTAGAATTATATATCATGAGCTGAGAAATAAAATAAAAAGACTCTTTTACTCTTGACTAAAAATTAAAATACTTATTATTTTTATATAATTTTATATTTTAGAAGGCTAAAAATAATTTTTAAAAATTTAAAAATATTTTTTGATATTTATTTTATCAAATTTGTTTATAATTTAAAAAAAATTAAAAAAAAAAAAACAAACATGGCATTTGTATTTTTATTTTGCTTTTATTTATTTATTTATTTATAATTTTTTTCAAAACTACGTTTACGAAGAAATTTTGATAAAGTAAAGATTGTAAAGAAATATTGATAGAGGGTAAGATTAGAAAAGAAGATAAATATAGTTGTAATCTTACATTCATATGTTTTCTTATCCAATGCAAATCAAACAATGAATAAGAGGATCATTTATTCTACAAATTCAATTAGATAGTGAATAAATATCACATTAATTTGATAGGATTATTAATACTTTCATTATTAATCTTATGAATCAAACATGGGCTTAGTACTTTGCAAAGGTAGGACTAACCCACAAAAAAACATGTATGTACACATGGATGGAGCTATGCAATGGCATGGCTCCCAAAGTTCAAAATTCTATTATTACCCTCTCAATTTCAAAGTAGAAATAATATTTCTAGGTTGTATATGAAATGGCACCGTAAGATTTTTTTATTTTTTATTTTTGACTTTATATTTCAGGAGTATTTCTTACAATGTATGTGAGATGATTCCTCTTCAAGTTTTTTTAAAAAATTTCCATTGACCCTCTATTTTAAAAGTATTCTTAGAATGCATATGGATGACCCCCACCTATTTCACATATTATGTAGTTGCATTAATTTTGTTGATTTAATTTTATACAATACATATAAATGTCATTTGTTGTTTTTTCAATTATTAAAAAAAACTATATTTATATTAAGTACCTACATTATGTAAATATCATCTGTTATTTTTTTTTAATTATTTTTTGATGTATTAAAAAAGTAATTTACATAAACAAATAAAATGCATTAAAATGATAGTCTAATTTGTTTGATTTATATTTCACACAATTTATACAACAGTCTTAAAACAGATTCTATAATTTTCATGAAATATGAACAAATAGAGTCATATGTAATTGGACTGTTTATGTTCCCCCGGATTGTGCACTGTTCTAGAGTTGCTCACCGCTTCTTACATAGAAATTCTAATTGTCCTTATGTACATGTCTTCGGTTGAATGGTAAATATGTTGGGCACTGTCCTATTAATTTGCTATTGTTGCATAAGTGTTTTTTTTTTTTTTTTCATTTATTTAATTAAAGGTACCGTTTCCATGTTCATGATGTGGGATTTAAATAAATGAATATATGGAATGTTTTGTTCTTATTTTCAATTTAATCAAAATGCTTTGTATTTCTAGATTTCTATTATATGAGCATGATTCATTGTTTTCTAAATTTATATATATCAGTGCATGAGTGTAGATTAATTTGAGATGCATGCTGTTGTTTTGTTCTATAGCTAATACATGGTATAAGATTTATTTTATTAAGGAAACTAAACCAACAGCATTTGTTTGCCACTGTTTTGTCTTTCCTACGATAATGTGCATGTTTAATTTTTCCTAGATTTGTAATTTGCATGCTAATTGCTTTCCAATTTTTCCGTATGATGGCATGCTAATTGCTCCCTAATTTCTGGATTTATTTACCTGAGTTATGTTTATAGTTATGTATGTTTATTGTGAAATAAGGTCATATGTAACTCTTGCATAGTAATTTAATTTATTTATTATTGTGAATTAAATTGCTTTGTAACTCATGGCTAGAATTTTAATTATGTAGGAGGTATAAGGATTTGTAATCTTTATAATTGACATGGATAGGCCCACAAGGCATACGGCCCACGGCAAACCACCCCGAACCCATCGCTTGGGGCCAATGGCACAACCCGGTTGACAAGGCCCAGAACAGCTGGAGGCCACCTAGACATGAAGGGCCAACGGCATTTAGGCACACGGCAAGTGGGACACGGGCCACATCAGCAGACAAAGATCTGCAGAGTTATTATCACAACACATCACCATTAATGCGACCCATCACAACATTTATTACAACAGCACTCCCCGCCGGAATAGAGCCTCCATCACCCTAAACAAGATGAGCTATGGCACAGGCTTTCGGCAAAAAAAAGCACGTCACAGGAGACAGGAAAAATGATGACAAAAGGATATAAGCAAGGATAAGAGGGAAGAAAAAGGTGAAGTGATCTCTCTCTCTTGATCTCTGGATATACAGTTTTTCATACTCTGCTCTACTAATTCTTGCACCGGAGGGTTCACTGGGGGACTACCCCGTTCCCCCCCGAACTTGCATGCAGGTCATCTGACGGAGTCTCCTTCTTGAGCCGGAGCCTGAAGAGCCTGGGCCGGTCCGACCCATCCACCCGGGAACCGATACCTCATCAATAATAATTTTATAGAACTCATGACTATTAAATTTTAATTCAATGCTTAGAGTTATAGGTTTAATTTGTAGCTCTTGCCTATTCATATTTTAATTTAATTATGGAGCTATGAATTTTAATTGTGTAACTTGTCTATACTTATGTACATGGTTAATGTATAAATTAAATTATAAATTTAATTTTGAAGTTTTAGTTTTATTTTATAACTCTTGCCAATTAAAAGTGTTATGATTATTGTGTTATAATTTCATATAACTCTTATCAATTAATTTTATTTAATTTTTAGAGTTATAAGGTTTAATTTATTTGAGAGTTATAAGTTTCATTAACTTGACTAGCATTTTAATTTTATTTAATTTTGCTATTTAATTAATTTATTGCTTTTACAATTTTTTTAGATTATTTGTTTTGTATTTTATTGTGTTTTTTTGCTATAATACCTATGCGAAAGGGAATGGAAACAAAAATACAAATCCAAATTAATAGAATTTGAGATTGTAAAACAAAATTATGGACTACTAACTTTTTTTGAACAGAAATACCTAAGCGAGGAGAGGAGTTTAGAGAATGGATAATCCTATTTAGATTGGTTTACATTTGTTTAGTGAAGCAATTTTTTGCTTAGGTTTAGTTGGTTTTTATCAATTGTGTAAAAGTAAATTTTATTTGCTTGTATTGTTAGAAGCATTTTATTTGCTTAATCATTGTTGTAACAATTTTTTATATTGCTTGTAATTTGGTTAGCAATTTTTAAATTGTTTGTAAGTTTAGAACTTGGTTTAGTTTTCTGTAATAGAAACCAAAGTGTTTAGTCTTGACTAAAGAGTATTTCTTATTTATTCAGAAATGACAATTAAAACAGATTTGATTTTCAACCTTTAGGGTTTGCGGAAGTCTTTGGGTTTAATCATTTTATTCCCAAAGTGTTGGAAAATCAAATTTGGAGAGAGTTTTTAGTTATAATCTGATTATTTTCAAAGTGATTTGGTTTTGAGAAAAGAAACCAAATTTTAACATTAGTTAAAATATTTCTGATTTTTATTCAAAAATGATGGGCTCAGTTCCGGGAGTACCGGTTAACTTTTATGAGTGGTATAATTTTGGTAGTAAATTTATTTGCTTGGAAATTGGTTTGTTATAACCTGGTTTATCCCTTAAAAAACTTAATTCTAAATTTATTTCCCATGTAATAGGAGTCAACATGCCTTTGAAAGTTTTGTCAAAAGGTTAACTGGGTTTTAAGTCGGACCGATGTGACCCCTCCAGTCTTCTTGGGAACATTCTTAACCATGTTCGATTTTAGGTTAAGTGGTGAAACTAGTTTTGAATTAAAT